CCCAAATCCCAGCTGAAGCTGACTCCAGCCCTAGCTGTCCATGGAAAGCTGCTGGGCTAGAGGGAAGGAGTGGCCCATCTGGCCTCTAAACTGACGTCAGTGTCCAAAATGAGGTGACCATGGTCACTTGGAGGCTCTAGACTGTCCTGTGAGCAGAAGTGCTTCTGGAACCCCAGGGTCCTGCCCAGGTGGGGGTCACCCTTCCCATCACCATGGCTGACCATGGGCCTCTTAGTCCTGGCTTCTTATGAAAGCCATAGAGTAGGGCAGGGGCAAGGACATTGGGGGCCTGTCTTCACCAGCAGTCAAAGGGCCCTCCCCACAGCAGAACTACTGGTCTCCAGGCTCCCCCCAACCCCAGCCTCGTGCTGGACAGTTCTCTGTGGCCTGCTGTCCACAGTCCTGCTTGCTGGTCCTATGCCAGAGCTTTCTCTCCACAGGCAAGTCCAGAGGAAAGCCCAGCAGGATGCCCATCCTCAGCTGCCTTCTACTGCTAGCAGAGTCAGACCCAGGCCCGTGGGCAGGCGAAGCCGGGCAGGGGAACCTTGGGAGCAGGCAGGGGCTCGGGTAGTGCTTCAGATGCAGCCCTGAAATGGGAGGAGGGTAGCCGTGCCAGTCCCCAGGCTCCCTGCCCCCAAGGCGCCCAAGGATGCCCTGCTCACCCCTCTAGCCCCACAACCTGCCTCAGGGTGCCCAGATCATAGAATAAGGGTCAGATGGAGGTGTCATCCGCCTGAGTGGGTAGTGGGTGTCCCTGAGGACAAGGGCAGCACCCGCCTCTACAGCCAGGGCAGCCTAGACTTGGGTGAGAGGGGTGGTGCTGACCCCTTACTGGCACTTTGCATGATGGTCTCATTGAAATAGACACAGCTCTTTGAGGCAGGTCTCAGGATAGCATCTGGACTTGGGGCCATCATGCCGCATTCAATAGCAGAATAGACCCCTCCCTTAGCAGGCCTGGGGCAGGCTGGATCCCCTGTCTCCGAGGGACTTGAACCCTACTCCGAGGGGAGTAGCAGGTACAGCAATGAAAAGGTGGGCAGTAAGGGACAAGAGGGCCCTGTGCTGGGGGAGAATGAGAGAGAGTGTCTCCAAGAATGTGTCTCCCAAAGGGCCTCCCACCGCTTGGGGGAAAAAAAGACTTTAAGCCAGTGGCTTTTGGCCTAGATTCCTGTGAGTGTTGGGGTGTTAGTGTGTGAGCCCACAGAACTCCACGCCAAGTGATCTGTGGGCTGCCCTGGGAAATTTTCCAGAGAGCAAAGGCCTGTGACCTTGGGGAGTCCTCAAAGGGGACTGTGACCCAAAGCAGATGAAAACTGTGGCTCTAAACATACATGTACCCACGCATCCACACACACATGCACACACGCGTACAAGGAAAGTGGAGAAAAGTGGGCTATAAAAAAAACCATTTAAAGAAATGAAAGCCCCCACTGCAGGCCACGTCTTCCAGAATCTGTTGTAACAGATTCACCCAAGCTGGTTAACGGTATTTGCGGTTTGCAAGATGCTACATGTCCTGGGAAATTGACAGACAAGTTATTATCACCTCTCTGCTGTCCTCCTGCCCAGACCTGCCTGCGCTGGGCACCCCAGCTGCCGGGAGCAGGAGAGGAAATTAACAGCCCGTGCACCCCTGTACCCACCCGCCCACTGCCCTCTCGACACCCTCAGGCCACCAACCTCAGGGCTCCCAGCCAGGCCAGGCCTATCTTGGACAGGATGGGGTGAAGGAGAGGCTGGGGGAGGGGAGAGGAGAGGGGGTCCCAGCAGGGAAGCCAGTGTGTGTGTTGCAGGGCGGCGGAGGGATAGGCACACATCAGTGTTTGGGCAAATCATTTCCTGCAAGTACCAAGAAGCACACGCATCCTGGAGCAGACAAGTCTAGACGGTTCTGTGTCAACAGCCGAAGATAAATAAGATTTTATCAGCTCGGAATCTGTTGAAACACATCCATCTAGCGGTTCTAGGGAAGGACGGGGCAGGAGGAAGGCGGGAGGTAGCGTCTGCATATGACTTCTTCCACAGAATGGAAAGGGACCGAAGAGCCCTGTTCTCCCTCTACCTCCACCCCATCTGCTTTTCCTCCAGCCCCAGGCCTGGGGTGGTCAGAGGAGGGGGCACTGGAGGAGGGGCCCACACCCTGACTGAGGTCCGGTTCTCTGGGAAGGCTGCTTTCTGTTCCAGGGCTCCTTCCAGGGTTGAACCCCTCAGTAGGATCTGGGGCTTCCCACTCAGGTGTGTGCCCCAAAGGTCACTTGTGCAGCCCACCCAGGCAGCACTGGACTGGGACGCCCAGTGGGGAGTGGGACTCCCCAGGACGTGTGGTAGCCTTGCTTGTGGTGCTGGGAGGCTCCCATGACCCAAGAACAGTGCCTCCCTAACCCTCTGCCTGCACCAGCACCTGGGACCCAGAATCTGTCCCTTGTCCACTCATACCGCACTCCTCTCTGGCTCAGAGCTTGAAGCTACTCAGAGTGGGGAGGAGTGTCACCCGCGGTACCAAGGACAGCTCCTAGCACCGCCCCAGCAGGTGGGTGGGGTGCTTGGAGGCTCCTTCTAGTGAGCACCCTGCCCCAGTGTGCTTCTGTTTTTCCTTGGGGACAATGGTTTCTCCTGTGACCTCCTCAGCTAGGAAGCGCAGACATGCTAGCCTCCACTGTCCCCTATCTGGGGCCACAGAGCCAAGGGGGCTACATTTGCATCCTGCGCCCAGACTAGGGTACACCCCCTTCCGGCTTTGCTGGGTTGCCCAGGGAAGCGGGAACTGGGCTTCCCCAGTCACAGGCACTCCCCAGGTTGCCAGCTGGTAGGAGCAGAGCCCTGGGCTTGGGGTAGCAAGGAAGCAGCTGCTAGGGAAATTGCTTCAGCTGAGCAAGGACTTTGAAGCCCCTCCACATTCAGACTCCACGAGTTGCAAGGGAACCAGGCAGGCTGTGGGCACATCCCTGCAGGCATAGCTGTGCCTGGAACCCAGCTGCATCCCTGTTGGAAAGCAACTGTGAGCAAAGTGAACCCCTTTTGTCAGTAATGAGTCCCACTCTGAGCCCTTTGACTTTGGCTAGCTATGATGACCCCGTCTCTCAATTGGCCAGCACTAGGGCAGAGGAGAGGGGTCTGTTGGGGGGTCAGCCCTGAGAGGGTCCTGGAGCCCCCCACCCCACCCCAATCAGCTACAGTCTTCCCTATGCTCCCTTGGGGTAACAACCTGGACCTATTCCAACTTTTGTCATCTCACCAAATAACGAGAATGTCCACCATGACACCAGCTGACACGGTTGGGTGTTTCCAGGCCCCAGGCTCTGTTCTAAATGTTACTACTGAGCACTATGCTCTGAGCCTGGGACTTCAAGTTGTCAGACCCCAAAGGCTCTCCTCCTCCTGCTGCCCCTCTGACTATGGTCTGATTCATTCTTGTGCCCCGGCTCAGGCCAGGGCTATGCTGCAGGGTTGTTCTGTCCATCTCCCCAGGTCCCCGGCAGGTCCTTTACTCAGGGTTCTCTGTAGCCCCTCTTCAGGGCTGGGTGCCTCTGTAGATATGTGGAAGAACCACACCTGGGGCACAGCTGCCCCTGTGGGATGGGAGCCTCTGGTAGCCGCCATCAGCTGCAGAAGGTCCCCAACCAGCTGGTCACAGCTGAGCTTCTGTCTCTGGCTGGCATCTGTGCCCCATGGCCTTCAGGGTGGTGCCAGTGGAGGAGACACTGGTAGGAGAAGCCTCTGATTAGTCTTTGGGAGTTGAAGAGGCTCCCACCAAGGGCCTGGAAAAGAACTGGCATTCAACAGATGCTGCAGGATGGATGGCTCCCTAATCCATGCTCAGTGAATCCTGTGTCCCTAGTGTGTTGAGGTCCAGGCAGTCCAGACAGGGCCCAGCATTCCCCTGAGCCTCCTCCTCCAGGAAGCCCTCCTGGTTGGCCCTTTACACTGAGGTCTCCAAGCATCTCCCTTGTATCACTAGGTCTTTTGTCTATGTGAGACATAATTGCCTCAGAGTCAAGGACTTCTTTTGTGGTTGGATATGAGGGCTGTGCATTAAATTGGCACCTAGTGTTTGCTTTGGCCTGGCCTGCTGCTGCCCTAAGCATAGACAGGCTCCCTTAGTGCTGGAGGATCCTTTATGCTCTGTGCACATCCCCCAGGGGAATATGGAGCCAAGGTGCATTTATCAAGTACCAGCTGCATGCGTCCATTTGCTGGGTATTACTGATAAGAGACAAGGTAGAAAGAGCTGGCTCCTTGCCCTCCAGGCACCAGAATTCAGGGGTATGTGCACCTTGCACACAAGAGGCGCTCCATAAATGCTCACCATCTCGGCTGTCCCCAGACCTCGGAGGAGCGTGGTAAGCTCCTCTCTGTCCTATGGCCTGTCCTATGGCCCTGGGTTACTCTCACCTGCCCAGGGCGCTGACATAGGGGCAGCTGCCACCACTAGCCACCGTCTGTGGCAGGAGCATCCTCCTGGCTGCTGTCACTCAGGACCTGCGTGTGGGGGTCACTCCTGCTTTCTGGGGTTCAGTGATGCTCAACTCCCACATCTGTATCATTGTTAATGTTGCCCCCATCTCCAGGGTGGGAAGGAACTATTAACAGCTCTGACCCTCTGGGACATGGAGCCTGGGGGACTCAAGTCCTTGCCCCGACCTCTGGGAAGCCTGTGTCCAGGTTCTGATTTCCTTGGACAAAGGGCTACCTCCATCTTTGCCAGTAGGGAGTGGAAGGAGTGGGACCAATTTATGGCTGGTGGAGCTGGCACTGCAGCCACTGCTGTCACCAAGTTCAGACTGGCCAGGGGGCTGCTGAGCGGGTACTGGGGGTGAGGGGTGTCTAGATGGGTGCCTGCAGGGGAGAGTGCTGGAAGGGTCCACAGAGGGGAGTAGGACCCGAGGAAGGGGTTCCTGACTGCATCCTGGCAGCCAGGTGGGTATCCTAGGACAGGGACACCACCAGGACAGAGCACCTGTTGGGGCCGCCAGCCTCACCAGTCCCTCCCACCACAGTACTCCCCTCTGTTGAAGAAGCTCTACTGCCAGATTGCCAAGACGTGCCCCATCCAGATGAAGGTGTCCACGCCCCCACCCCCTGGCACTGCTGTGCGAGCCATGCCTGTCTACAAGAAGGCGGAGCATGTGACCGAGGTCGTGAAGCGCTGCCCCAACCACGAACTGGGGAGAGACTTCAATGAAGGTGAGGTACAGCACCCCAGCTGGGAAGGGGTGTTGGCATGGGCCTCTGACCGAAGGGCAGCAGGTACCCATGAAAAGTGCTTCTTGCCCAGACTCTGCCATTACCGTGAGGGCCTTCAGGGCCCCTCTCTTTCCTGTGGAATGGCAGTCTGACCATACCTGTCGCTTGACCCTCCCACTCGGCCAGGGCTTGAGAGCCACAGCCACAAGAGTACTTCCCTCCAGTACAGAGCCAGTGGTCTAAGGGGGGCCTGAAGCGAGACTGGCAAGGCCTAGGGGCAGCCCTGGGGTCCCCCCTGGGGGGCTGATGGACAGGTCTGTGGGGCCCCCAGTTGGCTGCAGTGCACCCCAGCTGAGGGTGGTTCAGGGGCAAGCTCTTCTCTGAAGCAACATCTCTCCCACCCCCCACAGGACAATCTGCCCCGGCCAGCCACCTCATCCGTGTGGAGGGCAACAACCTCTCACAGTATGTGGACGACCCTGTCACTGGCAGGCAGAGCGTCATGGTGCCCTACGAGCCCCCACAGGTAGGCGCTTGCCAGGGTTGGGTGGAGGGAGCTTGGGGGAGAGGAGAGAACCACAGCTCATGCAAAGGGCTGGAGGGGAAGGCTGGAGGTGGGTGGGACACAGAGAGGCTATGAGGGGCAGGTGAGTGGGACAACCTTTGACCTGAGGCAGCAGGAGGTTCTAGGGATTTCTGGGGATGGTACAGGGTTCAGTGGAATGAGGAGCTGAGGGTGCAGAGAAGTGGAGGTTCTGAGACCCTGCAGAGGAGATGATGGGATAGGGGTGCCAGGATGGAAGTAGGATCAGCCTCCTCGCAGGCCAGCCTTCCCTGGAAGGACAAGACACAGACAACAAGCACCCAACTTTCTTGTACCCTGTGCTCTAAGGCCCCCTCAGCTCCCATCCCACAGGCCCAAGAGGCAACCCTTTCTGTCTATAGGCCCAGGGACTGACCACAACCATGCCTTCCTTCCCCAAGCTGCCTCCACCCTCACCTGTGCCAGTTGGGCCTCCAAGAAAGCAGGGCTCTCTTGCCCCCTAGTGGCAGTTCTGTGAAAAAGCAAGTTGTTAAAAAACCCGTGGCTGGTTTTCACACTCTGACCCAGGGTTACAGTGAAAACCGCCCATTTCACTGTCAAGAGACAATCAGGGGTCAAGACGTCCAGGTCCACATCTCAGCTCTGCCACAACTTTGTCTCCCTCGCCCTCGCCAAGCCCTGGGACATAGGAGTGGGTGCTGGGGTAGGGGGTTCCACCTTGAACAGCTCTGGTCCTGCCCTCCTATAGAATAGTGCCCGCACCCTGGAAGACCTCACAGTGTACAACACATATTTGCCCACAGAGGCCTATGGACATGCCCACCACACAGCCTCTGGAGCTTGTCCTGTGGCCTGTGTCTGGGAGATGGTCAGGGCAATGAGATCATAGGACTGTGGCTGCCTGAAGCAAAGACCAGGCCCAAACCCTTTCCAAACTGCATGGCACTTGACATTCAGTGTATATTACATGAATGGAGGAATAAATAGTGTATACATGTATATATGTATGTATGGATGGATGGATGGATGGATTAGTGGATTAATTAGATGGATGGATGGGTGGATCCATGGGTAGTTGGATGGATGATGATGGATGGTTGGTTGATTGGTTGGTTGGATAGATGGATGGATGGATGGATGACAGAGAGCCACAGAGAAAAGCCTTGTTCCCACCCTGCCTCATGTCTACCCACAGCCAGGACTAAATGTGGGACCTGGGGACTTCCCAGCCTAGAAGCCCCACTTCTGTACGTTGGGACCTGTACACTGACACTGCAGCCCTTTTCCTGCCTCCCCATGTGCAGGTGGGGACAGAATTCACCACCATCCTGTACAACTTCATGTGCAACAGCAGCTGTGTGGGGGGCATGAACCGGCGTCCCATCCTCATCATCATCACCCTGGAGACCCGGGAGTGAGTCTGCTGGCACATGGGGGTGGGACAGGGACTTGGGCCACTGCTACTGGGGACATGGAGGCCAAAGCCAGTGGCTGGCGCCTGAGCCCTGGAAGTGAGTTGGGGTTATTTTGTTGCAGCCGCCAGGCCTTGCTGCTTTGAGGGAGAGATGTTCCCCCAACCTGCAAGGGTTGCTTGGGCGGGAGCTGGGCCTTGTGGGGAGGGAGGGCCTGGAGTCTGGGCTGATGCCTCAGAGCAGCCTTGCAGCCTTCTGAACATTGGCTCCCTCTGGTCAGAAGCTCCTTCTCCCCTCACTGGGCACTCAGCCCCAGCTCCTCTGCCATCAAGCCCACCTTGTGGGATCTGCTGGGGTTGGGAGTAGGTAGGATTGAAGGTGGACCTGGAAGTTCATGTTTCCAACTGTGTCTGCACCCCAGTGGACAGGTGCTGGGCCGCCGGTCTTTTGAGGGTCGCATCTGTGCCTGTCCCGGCCGTGACCGCAAGGCTGATGAGGACCACTTCCGCGAGCAGCAGGCCCTGAACGAGAGTGCCGCGAAGAGTGGAGCGGCCAGCAAGCGCAGTGAGCAGGGTTTGGGGCTGGGGCACCTGAACCTCGTAGGGCCTGCCTTGCGGGGCAGTAAAATGCTGGCCTGGATCGCTCGAGCCTGCCTCCAGGAGAGGCTGAGACCTCCCACTGAGTGAGCACAGCCCCAGACAGGACCACTGGGATGGCAGACCTGCTTGGTCCTCGGTCCCAGGCTCCTCTGACGCTACTGCCTGTGGTCGCCCCCGGCCCAGCTCCATCCAGCAGCTGCTACTGGGGCTGGGGCTCCTGCATGGGCAGTCACTGGGTTTGCCCGTTGTGGAGCTGACAGTTTCTGGACCTGGGGATCTGTGAGCCATGCCCACACACCTGACCCCCTCACACGACCTCACTCACCTCCTCTGACCAATCACCCAGCCTCTCCTTCCTCCCTTCAGCATTCAAGCAGAGCCCCCCAGCCATCCCTTCTCTGGGGGCCAGTGTGAAGAAGCGGCGGCATGGGGACGAGGACATGTACTACATGCCTGTGAGTGCACTCAGCTGTGGGGCTGGAGAGGAAGGGTGCAAAGGGCCTGGGCCTGGGCCTGAGGCCACTAGGAGCAATGCTGCTCTTCTGAGAGCTGAGGCCCAGGGCTCTGCAGGGAAGCCAGCTCAGAGTCAAGCTGGGCCGACGCGGTGGGAGTAGGGTCTCAAGAGTCAGTGGCTCTAAATCACATGCACCCAAGACAGGCTGCCATCAGGGATGGTGGGAAGGTGCACATCCCTCCGGGGACACACCAAGGATCATGTCACCCTCATGTCGCATGGGCCACCCACTGCCCCATGGGTGTGCCCCCTTCACCTATGTAGCCCCTCGCCTGGTGACTAATACTTGCTGCTCTCAGGCTCTGTCGTCAATCAGGAGCTGATAATTGCTTGAGTCCTTTGAGAATGAGCCCCTCATTTTAAAACCTGTATTTGTTAAGCAGCCCTGCTCCCCAGCACCCATTGTGCTCAGTGTTGGAGAGAGGAGTGGTGAGGTCAGTGGACAAAGGCAGGCATAGGTGGGATGTGATCTGCCTGGGGAGACGGGCACTCACCCCCATGACAGGGACTCTGGCCAGGCCTGCTCCTGGGGAAGAGGGGAGGGAGCCCCATGGAAGGAGTGGCCCTGTGCTGCCAGCCAGGGTCTTCCTGAGGCTGTGGCTACCTGCACCCACAAAGGGTCTCAGGAGGACAGCTTCTGTATGTGGCTGGTAAAGGCTCGGCTCTCTCCCAGGTGCGCGGCCGGGAGAACTTCGAGATCTTGATGAAGATCAAGGAGGGCCTGGAGCTGACCGAGCTGGTGCCGCAGCAGCTGGTGGACTCTTACCGGCAGCAGCAGCAGCAGCTCCTACAGAGGCCGTGAGTACAGCCAGGCCCGCGCCACCCACCCACCATGGCCAACACTGCTGCTGCCATTGAACCCAGTGCCCAGTGGGGACAAGGGCAGGTCCCATGCAGCAGGGAAGATGCCAGGAGAGCCAACGACCCCTGGGACAGCAGCGTATGTGGGGGTTGGCAGGGTGGAAGAGTTACGACTCAGAGGATGCTGCAGAGTCTCCTCCCCCAGGAAGCCTTTCCTGGGTGTGGGTTGCCCTGGGCCCTGCTGCATGGCCATCATCTCATCTCCTTTGGGGTCCTGGAGCCCCAGCAGCAGCTTGAGGCAGGGATGTCCTAGGCTGGGACAGAGCTGACCCTGAGGGTGTGGGAGTGGCTGGATGAGATTACCCATAGACCAGGGGACTGAGCCCCTCCCAGTCCTCACCCCACTCTGTTGGGTTCCCCCTCAAAAGCAGAGGGGTAGGGAAGGTACAGACTTACATGGGTGGTTGGGGTGAGTTACAGCTGCAGTCTCTATCCACTGGTACACAGGGCACTGTGAGTACTGCATTCTGACATTTGACTGTTTGACCAAATGCTACCTGTCACTTTCTGAGCAGGAGCCACCTGCAGCCTCCCACCTATGGACCCATCCTGTCACCCATGGGCAAGGGGCACGGCAGTGCCAGCAAGCTGCCCTCCGTCAACCAGCTGGTGGGCCAGCCTCCCCCACATGGCTCCTCAGCCGGGCCCAGTCTAGGGCCCATGGGTGAGTCCGTCTAGGAGGTGCCTGTGGCAGGAACTAACTTCTGCCAAGTTCAAGCCTGGCACTCAGGCCTCAACCTCCTTCCACCCACTCTAGCCTAAAGGCAGAGAGCTTGGCCCAGGGGGTCAGCCATGTCCACTGCCCCCTTTGGAGGCAGTGTCTGTGGGAGCAGAGGGTGGCTTGGGAAAAGACATGTAGGTTATGCCTTCGGCCCACCTCTTAGAGGCTGAGGGACCCTGGGTGGTTTCTGAGCCACCCTGGGAAGAGCACCCTATGGGCACAGGCTGCCACATTCCCAGTGCCATGAGCACCCCCCCCCACAACATCAGAGCAAGGCAATGCATGACAAGTTCATGAGGACCACTCTCAAGAGCCAAGCAAGGCTCTCAACACCTCACCCCTCCACCTTGGGCGAGGAGATGGAGGTGGGCTGGGATGTCCAAGATCCAGTCCCGGCCTAACAGGGTTGGCCTGTGTTCTGAAGCCAGCCCTGATTCTAGCCACAGAGTTCATGACTGCCCCCCTGCTTCTGGAGCTTTCCATGGCCTCAAGCCTGGGTGGAGCCTGCATGGGGCATGCACAGGCTGGCTCACCCTGACCGTCCACCTCTCGTCCAGGTCCCGGGATGCCCAACAACCACAGCCACCCGATACCGTCCAACAGTGAGATGAATGGCGGCCACAGCTCACAGCCCATGGTCTCAGGGTCCCACTGCACCCCACCACCTCCCTACCACGCCGACCCCAGCCTCATCAGGTAGGAGTCTGCTGCTGAGCCCAGGCTGCAGGGCACCCTGAGCTGTTGCCATGTCTACTAACCTCAGTCTGTCTGTGGCTCCCGGTCAGCTGGCCTTCAGCCCTCTGAGCCATCTCTGCAGGCCCCTGTTCTCTCGTGTTTAATCACTACCAACTTGAAGACAGAGACCACAGTGGCAGTAGGTATGGGGGGGGGACAGTTGGCTTCTTGATGTTAGGTGCCATGGGGTCAATTCTGACTCATGGTGACCCTATATGACAGGATCTTTAGAATGGTCCCACAGGGTCGTCTAGGCTGTAATCTTTATGGAAGTAGGTCTTCAGGTCATTCTCCCTCAGAGCAAGGGTAGGTTCGAACTACCAACCTTTTGGTTAGCAGCCAAGTGTGTAGCCATTGTACCATCGGGGCTCCTTCCAGTTTCCTTAGAAAAAAGAAAAGCACAGAGCGAAGGGTTCCTTGGCTGACGTGTGATGAGCAGAGAACATATCTGTGTGGGAGGGCCATGGCTTTGGTCAGTGCCTCAGCCAGAGTCACCATGTGTGCTGTATGGGAAGACATGCCCGCCTGGCCAGGCCACTTAGACAAGGAGCGGGCCCACGCCGCACGCAGCCCTGGACGCTAGCACCACTAACACGGCTTTCTCTCTCACAATCTCTCTCTCTGCAGTTTTCTAACAGGCTTGGGGTGTCCCAACTGCATCGAGTATTTCACCTCACAGGGGTTACAGAACATTTACCACCTGCAGAACCTCACGATCGAGGTAAATGGCCGCAGCCCCCCCGACCACTGGGCAGGCGCCGCCTAAGCCCCGCCCAACAGGCCGCAAAGGATGTCTCCCTCTTCCTGGCAGCCACTCCCACTCCATGTTCTTTCCAGCATGAGGGGAAGCTGGGCCATGAGGGGAGTCCTCCCAACAAGCAGTCAGAGTCTGCATCCTCAATGTGTGGCTTCTGCTCTGAAGTCCCTCTGGTGAGGTTTAGGAGTGCTGCTGAATGGGCAGCAGGCCGGTGGGGCACACTCAGGCCTCTCGTGGCAGGACCATCACCTGGACTGGTCACCTGGACTTGAGGGGTTTCCTGCCATGCCAGCATCTTGGCCCCCAGGAGCCACTCTCCCTTTGATCTTAGGGTTGCTATCCCCAAGGCACAGAGAATTGTAGAATGCAAGAGCCAGGGGGAGCTTGGCAGGGGTTCAGGCCAGCACCACCCAGAAGAGGCTGGGGCCCTATAGCCTATCATGTACATGAGAACCGGACACCCCTACCGCAGATCACCGTTCCTCTTTAGGTTAAATAAACCCATTGCTGAAAGACAACTCCAACCGTGTGTGTGTGTGTGTGTGTGTGTGAGAGAGAGAGAGAAAGAGGGAGAGAGAGTAGAACTGTGCTCCATGGGGTTTCCAATGGCTGGTTTTTCGGGCCTTTCTTCTGAGGGGACTCTGAGGGGACCTCCAACCTTTCAGTCAGCAGCCGAGCACATTAACTATTTGCATCCTGATGAGGACACTGCCCTGTTACTCCCAACATGGGAGGCCTTCCCTTGCTGGTAGCCTCTGCTCCTCTTGACCTGTGAGTCACTCACCATTACCCACAGGGAGAGGCAAGGACACTTGGCTGTTAGGCTAGTGGCCCTGGAGGCTCCAGCTGAGCCCCTCGACCCCTGCATCCCTTCCCGCTTGTGTCTCCTCCTGCTCATTATAGCCCAGGGCCTTGGGCCCCAGAGACTTGGGTTTTCAGAGAGGCTGGGGCCAGTGGCTCAGCCAGACCCTCCCCAAGGCAGAGCAGCTAACTCAGGCGACCACCGTGTTTGTGTTTCTAACACTGTCCTCATGTCCTGCCCCCAGGGCCAGGGGCTCTGCACCATCAGCCAGCCCTAGTGCAGTGTGAGCCTCTGCTCCCCAGCGTATTGCATGTGCTTCTGCTGCCTGTGTCAAGGGGCTGGGGACCAGGGTCGCAGTGCACTTTCAAAGGCAGGCCAAATCATTGCCCAGCCACAGAATGTGTGTGTGTGTGTAGGAGGGGGACGGACAGAGCGATAGCTCTGAGTCGGTGTCTTTGCCTGCCCCGTGGGGCCCTCAGCCGGCTCACTGCAGAGGCTATGAGGGTGGCCTGTCCCATTCCGGCTCCCCTCATGGTGCTGTTGCCCTTGCAGGACCTCGGGGCCCTGAAGATCCCGGACCAGTATCGGATGACAATCTGGCGGGGCCTCCAGGACCTGAAGCAGGGCCACGATTATGGTGGCGCACAGCAGCTCATCCGCGCCAGCAGCAACGCTGCGGCCACCCTCGCAGTAGGCGGTGCAGGCGAGCTGCAGCGGCAGCGAGTCATGGAGGCCGTGCATTTCCGCGTGCGCCACACCATCACCATCCCTGGGCGCTCCGGGCCCGCCGGCCCCGATGACTGGGCTGACTTTGGCTTCGATCTTCCAGACTGCAAGGCCCGCAGACAGGCTATCAAGGAGGAACTCACGGAGGGCGAGATCCACTGAGAACACTAGATGCACAGGACATGCTGAATGCGTGGGAGCGGGCGCTTACAGCCGAGGCCCCAGGGAGCTTTGCTCTTGTTCCTCCTTTGTGTCAAAAACTGCCCTCTGGAGGCGGGCCCTCTGGGCTGTGCGCAGGGAGGCAACGAGGCGTGCCCTGTGCTCAGGTGCTGCTCCAAAGGGACTTTGTGGACCTTCACCCACCCCAGGAGATGCTGCCAGGTCCCCAGCATGCGCACGGACAGTCAGAGTGTCCTGGGGGTAACTTCTGGAGCTGCCCCACAAGTGGGCTTCTGGGCAGACACAGCCAAGGCCACCCAGGCTGGACCGGACCCCAAGGCCAGCTGCCTGCCCTCAGCCTGCTGTTCACCCCCAGCCTAGAGCAGAGGTGTGGAGGGACCTGGATCTCACCCCTGGCCACCCAGAGCACTGGTGTGTGTGGGGGAGCTGGATCAGTGGGGCCAGCCTCCCCATTGCTCCACTTGTCCTTCTGAGGACACCCACCTCCCAGGAGAGACCCTTCACAATAAAAGGGTCTGCTTTGCTGACAGACTGCCAGCAAATATTTCCCGAGGTTCTTTGGTTCTGAGTAGCAATGAGCAGCCAGGTGATAGTGTCAAAGCCTTCAGTGTGCGGCATGTGGACAGGCTCTGGGGACATGCACGTGCACATCACATAGAATGCCACTGTGCAAAGAAAACACACTAATTTTCAGGTGAAAGTCCCAAACTGTGTCTTTGCCCAAAGCTGGGCTGAGTACTACTCCTGCTAGGCAGAGGGCCAGTCTGGGTCCCTCACATGCTTGACCTCTGGTTCCAACCCCACTCCACACTGACCACCCCCTTCCTGTTCCCAATGAAAACGAGGGTCTGGCTGGAATTGGAGAGAAGACCGACGGTAAAGGGATTAGAGGGTGCTCAGCCCTGCTGGGGTATGTGGAAGAGTCTGGTGGACCCACCACCAAGCACCCACACAAAGGCTGCTGGCCATGGTCACCACTCTTCAGGTGACCCCTTCAGCATATAATCGATAGCGTGTTCCCTAGACTATTGGCAAATGTCCTATTTGATAAAATGATACTCTTCTACATGGCGGGTTAGCTTTTATTTCCTCAAGCTTTTCTTTGCCATCATCATTCCCCAAGAGCTCAACCTAGCAGAGTCTCAGCTTCCCCACCCATCAGCCAAACCAGCCAGGCCTGGCTGCTGGTCCTGAAAGCCTGGTGGAGGGGGACAGCGAGAGAGGACTGTGCAAGGGGAGAGAGGACCCTGGGCAGGCACTTCTGTTGCCTTGGGGTGATGCCAGCTGAAGCAGCTTCTCTGCCTGTGGCTGCTTTGGCAAGTTGGGAGCTGGGCAGTGGGTGGTCCTTCTTTGGGGAGGGACAGCCCTAAGGGAGTGGCAGGCAGCAGGAAGAGCACCCTGGGACTCAGAGGCGGGGTGCTGGGGCTGTGCTGGTGTGGCCACTGTGCCTCACTGTGCCAGGACCAGAGCTCACTCACCGAGGGCTGTCATGTTGGCTGAAAAGTAACAGGCCTCCTGCTACAGGCATCCAGAGGCCAAGCTCCATGCCTTTCTACAGGAAACAGAAAGCCGGTATCAGAATGCCACTCTCTTTGTTAGATGTCCAGTCTCTGGTGGCATAGTGCCTAAGGCATTTGACTGCTAACTAGAAGGCTGGCAGTTCAAACCCACCAGCCACTCCTCGGAAGGAAGGTTGGGCAATCTACTTCCATAGAGATACTGCCTCAGAAACCCAAGGAGGGGTCGCCATGAGTTGGCATCGACTTGATGGCTCCTTAGGAAACTAGCGCTCTGAAGGAGAAGAGGTGTTTGTTGTATTGAAATATGCTGAGATGTGGCTCACGAGGCAAGCATGTTCTCCATGCCACAGCTACCAGTCCCCATGTCAGAGAGCGAAACACACAGGATCGTCCACCCACAAACACCCCAGTCAGGGTCCAGTGTTTAGGCTGAGACCACGGCATCTTGAAAAACCTCAAGAGTAAAAATTGCTGTCAGCACTTATTTAAAAGCAGCAGTTTGTACTGACACAGGTCTGTGTGTCCAAGATAACAGCTTCATCCCTCTCCCCTCACTGTTATGCACCCCCAGGGACCTTCTTTGGAGCCCCAACGCAGGCACAACTTTAGGGATGGGACTGGCTATCTGGAGTTTTGGAGCTACCCAGATGATTCCAATTGGCAGGTCATGCTAAGACACCCAGGACAGCAGAACTAGTACATTTCAGCCATGGGACAGGCTCTTACTGATGAGCTTTGTGTTTAGCTTCTCCAGAGTCACAGATTCCTTGGAGAATCCACAATCTCCCAGGATCAACCACCTGTATCCGGATAGCCACAGTCATGGGCAGTATGGCAGCTGCAGCCTGAGGGTTTATCATCAGCTGGCTTGCCACCCCTTGGCGTGTGTGGCCCCTCACCACACACGGCCCTAGGGGGCAGTGCCATGTGTTTGTATCTCACATATAAGGAAACTGAAGCACAGGCTGGCTGTCACGTGCTGGCTTCTTGCTCCTTTTGCAGCAGAGCTGGATTCAAACCTGGCAGTTGGCTCAAGGCCCCATGCCTAAAGCCCCATCAGTGCTGCTTCCTCCTGCCATTTCAGAGATCCCCCACACCCAGCCCTGGGCCCCTCAGAAACCATTGGGTCAATTCCAACTCCTAGCCGGGTTCCTTAGGATTGATTTTCAAAGGCTGATTTTTATGAAGTAGATCAGCAGGCATTTCTTCCAAGGTGGATTCAATCTTCCAGCATCTCGGTTAACAGCTGAGTGCATTCACCACTCACACCATGCAGGGACCCAGGGACCTTGGCAGAGAAGCATCTGAATTCCTCGCCACCTGGGAATTTGTTTCTTGGCCACATTCACCCCCACCACCCTGAGTCTGTCCGTCAGGACTTCCATGAGGGCCCCCATGCACTCCTGGGAAAGGCTAATAGGGCTAACATGCACAGAGTGAGGTGGCCAGGGCCGAAGGAACACCCAGCTACACAGCTGAGGAAGAATGCCAGAGAAGGTCCTGCTCAAGCATTCTCTAGGGGCCCACAGGCCACTTGTGAGCCTCACACCCCATACACCTGTCCCACAAGCTCATGGGTCTGCCAGCCTTTTTTCCTCTCCTACTATCAGAGGACGACCTTTGAAGAGAAAAAAAAAAAAAA